CTCCTCTCTATCCTACACCATTACATCTCATCTCTATTACCCCATTACCTCTATCTATATCCTAACCCTATTACTCTCATCTCTATAATATCCTACCCCCATTACCTCTTCTCTCTATCCTACCCCATTAACCTCCTCTCCTCTCTATCCGACCCCCATTACATATCCTCTCTATCCTACCAAATTACCTATCATCTCTATCTACCCATTACTCTCTCTATATCCTACCCCAATTAATCTCATCTATTATATTACTACACCACATTACTCTCATCTATATTACCCCCAATTACATCTCCTTCTATTACTACCCCATTACATCTCATCTTATATCGACCAATTACATATCTCTCTATCCGACCCCCTTTACATAGCATCTATATACTACCACCTTTACATATCAGCTCTATACGTCCACAATTACTCTCTCTCTATCTACCCCATGACCTCTCCTCTCTTTCTATATACCCCCCCCATTACATTCTCCTCTCTATCCTAACCCCATTACCTATCTCTATATCCTACCCCCATTTACCTCTCATTCTATCTACCCATTACCTATCATCTTATCTACCCCAATTACCTCTCCTCTATATCCTTCCCCCAGTTACTCTCATATAGTTACTACACCATTACATCTCCTTATCTATACTACCCAATTTCCTATCCCGAGATAGTCCTTCCACAATTACCTCTCATCTTATATACTACCCATACATATCTAACTCTTATATTACACATTTACTATCATCTCTATCTACCCATTTAATCTCCTCTATATCCTTACCACCTTTACCTATCATCTCTATCCTAACCCCTTTATTCTCTATATACGACCACAATTTCCTCTCACTTACTATCCTACCACCATTACCTCTTCATTTTATATACGTCCAAATTACATATTCCTCTCTTCCCTACCACCATTACCTCTCCTCTTATACGACCCCCATTACCTTCTCCTATATATCCTACCACATTACCTATCTATATATCCTACCCCCATTAATTCTCATATTTTCCTACCACCCTTGTCATTCATTCTCTATCCTACCCATTACATCTCAATATTATACTACCCCCATTTACCTCTCCAATCTTTATTCCCACCATTACCTCTCATCTATTACTACCCATTACCTACATCATCTCTATCCAACCACCATTTACCTCTCTCTCTATCCTACCCCCATTACTCTTCCTCTAATATCTCCCCCCATAACCTCTCCTCTTATCCTACCCCCATTACATTCTCATTATATCTTACCCCCCCATTACCTATCTCCACCTCTCTATCCTCCCCATTACCTCCTCCTCTCTATCTTACCCCCATTACCTCATCCTCTCTATTTACCATTACTCTATCTCTATCCTCCCCCCATTACCTCTCCACTTATCCTTTACCCCCATTACCTCTCTCTCTATCCTAACCCCATTTACCACCTATCCCTCTCTATCTAACCCCCATTACTCTCCTCTATATCTACCCAATAACTCTCCTCTCTATCCTACCCAATTACTTCCTCTCTATCCTACCCCCATTACCTATCCTCTCTATCCCAACCACCATTACCTCTCTCTACTATCCTACCCCATTACCTCTCCTTCGATCCTACCCATAACCCTCTCCCTCTCTATCCTACCCCCATTACCCTCTCATCTATCCTACCCATTACCCCTCTCCTATCTAACTACCATTACCTCTCCTCATCTATCTACCCCCATTACCTCTCCTCTCTATCTACCCCCCCATTACCTCCTTCTATCCTACCCCCATTACCTCCTCCTCTCTTCTATCCTACCCCCATTACCTCTCCTCTCTATCCTACCCCCCATTACCTCTCCCTCTCTATACAACCCATCTACCTCTCTTACTCAATCTACCCTCATTACCCTCTCCTCTCTATCTAAACCAATTACCTTCTCCTCTCTATCCCTACCCCCATACTCTCCTTCTATCCTACATTACCTCTCACTCTATTACCCATTACTCTCTTCTAATCTACCCCATACCTCTCCTCCTCTATACTACCCCATTACCCTCTCTCTCTATCCCTACCCCCATTAACCTCTTCCTCTCTATCTACCCCCATTACCCTACTCCTCTTATCCTTAACACCAATACCTCTCCTCTATATCTACCATTAATCTCCTCTCTATCCAACCCCCATTACCCTCTCTATCTATACTACCCCCATTACCCTCTCTATCTATCCTACCCCCCATTACCTATCCTCTTCTATCATACCCCATAACCTTTCCTCTCTTCCTACCCCCATTTACTCTCCTCTCTATCTACCCCCATTACCTCTCCTATCTATCCTAACCCATTACCTCTCCTCTCTATCCTACCCCCCCCATTACTCACCTCTCTATCCTACCCCCATTACACTCCTCTCTATTACCCATTACTCTCCTATCTATCTACCCCCATTACTCTTCCTATCTATCCTACCCCATTACCTCTCCTATCTATCCTACCCCAATTACCTCTCCTCTCTATCTACCATTACTCTCCTATCTATCCTACCACCATTACCTATCCTCTCTCTATCCAACCCATTACTTCCCATCTATCCTACCCTCATTACCTCTCCTATCTATCCTACCCCATTACTCTCCTATCTATCCTACCCATTACCTCTCCTATATATCCTACCCCCCATTACCTCTCCTATTATCTACCCCATTACCTCTCCTTATCTATCCTACCCCCATTACCTCTCCTTATATCTACCCACATTACACTCAACCTAAACCCCTATCATAAATATTCTCATCATCCCCATTCCCCCACCTCCCCCTCCATAACCAATAAAAAAAAAAAACCACATTAAATCATTCCTCTCCACTTCAAACAACATTTCATCATATCCCCTCTTTCTTCTCCCCTCCGTACATATATAAAATATAAAAATTAAATATATAATATATATATATATTACCTATATAATATATATATATATAATACCCACACTCACCCATACTAACATCATCCCTATATCCCCCACTCCTTATTACCTTTCTCTACTACATATATATTACAAACTCACCCAATCTTTATATCCCTATATATCAATATATATATATATATATATATAATAAATATAATATAAATATAAATATCTATATATATATATTATAATATCTAATATCACATAATACTTATTTCCTATCACTCCCATATCTAAACATCGACCAACCCCCCCACACACTTCCTCCCCCCTATACCCCTCCCACCCCCCAAACACCTCCCCTCTACCACACCCCTTAATCCTCCTACACTAACAAAAAAAATTCACTCACAACAACCACCCCCAAACAAACTCACAAAACCCCTTATATCCCCCTAACCCCATTTAATCCACATACTCAACTTCCCCCTTATCAAAACATACTTACACATACACTACCAATTATACCCTCCAAAAAAATTACCCCACAAACCCCAAAACAACCACTCCAAACCAAAAACCACAAACATCAAAAATCAAAAATTCAACACCCCACTTATAATACAACTAAAAAAACCATACCAACCAAACAAAACCCTCAAACCCTTACCAACATACCAAAAACCCTACTACCCCATCCCCTCCCACAACCCCCCCCCCCCCCCCCCCCCTAAAAACTCCCAACCACCCCCCATAAAATCCCAAATACCCACTCCCAACTCAAACACACCATACCCATCTTCTTCTCAACACATATCCACTCCAAATTCCAACTATTATATCACCTAACCCCTTTTCTTCACTTCCCCTCTCTCTCTCCCCTCTCTCTCTACCTCTCTCTCTCATCTCCCTTCTCTACCCTCTCTTATCTCTCTACCTCACTCTACCACTCATCTCCCCCCTCACTCCCCTCCCTCTCACTCAACCCTCTCTCTCCACTCATTAAATCAATACCCCCATATAACTTCACACACAACACACACATCCCCCCCACCCCCACCACCCCACCAACCCATTCCACACCCCCCCTCCTTCCATAACTCCCTTTCAATACCCCCCTTCAACAATATTCCTCTCTCTATACCCCCCACCCTCCCCCCCTATCCCCCAAACCCCCCCCCAAACCTACCCCACACACCCCAAAACCCACACTAATACTAATAATCTCTATCACTATCCACCCCATAATAACTCATATTCCCTTAATCATCTATTAATCCCCCCACCCCCTATACCCCTCACCTCCTAAAATTAAACCCCAATTCACCAATCAAAATCTATATCTCAACCCCCCCAAAACCAAAAACACTCCAACAAAACAATCACATCCTCCACTCACACCCCCAATACCACCCCCACCCACACCATACACACCCCAAACCATCACAACCAATCCCAACAAAAAAATAACAACAATATAAACAATTACACACTTTTTCCAAATTTCACAAATTAACACACACACATTAACACAAATTAACACAAATTACCCAACCCCAAAATACCAACACCCCCAACAACCCCTCATTTCAACCTCTTCCCTATACTCCCATTCCCAAACACCTACCACACCTACCAATCCCCCCCCCCAACCCCCCCATTATTCTTACCCAACAACACCCCCCCACTAACACAATTAATTAACACATAAAAAAACCACATTCTCACCCATACCCCCAACCCACTCTTTCCCCAAACCCCTTATATCCCACCCAATCCAACCTCCCCCCCTCCCACACCCCCCCCACACCCCTCCCCCCCCCTACCCCCACACCCTCAACCCCCAATACCCATCTCATATTCCAACCAAAACCCCATCTAACTCCCCCCCCCCCTACATACCCCCCCCAAACCTTCCACCAATCACTCACCCACCAACTAACACTCAATCACTCCCCCCCCCTCTTTCCCTCCATCTCCCCCATCATCCCCTTCCCATATATCCCTATCCCCATACTAACCCACTCCCCCCCCACCATCCATAACCCTTTCTCAAAACTAAACTAACATCCATACCACCCCATATAATCCTCTCTAACCATAAACCTAAATCCCAAACACAACCCCCCAAACCACCACACCATCCCAACCCACCACCCACCCCCCCACCCCCCCACCACCCCCCCCCCCCCCCCCCCCCCCCCCCCCCCCCCCCCCCCACCCCCCCAACCCACAAAACCAACCCCCCCCCCCCCCCACCCCCCACCCAACACCCCCAAACACAACCCCCCAACTCAAAACCACCCCCCCAACACACCACACCCCCCCCCCCCCCCCCCCCCCCCCCCCCCCCCCCCCCCCCCCCCCCCCCCCCCCACTTACCCAAAACTCACCCAAACCTTCCTCCAAACCACCCACCACCTTCACCTACCCCCCAACATACCCCCACCCTAATCTCAACAATAAAATCCCCCCCCACACCCCCCCAACCCAAAACCCACCTCCTTCTCAACCCCATATTTCCCCCACCACAATCACCTCCCAAATACCTACCCACAATCCAATACCATATACTACCCCACACATCAACCCAACTACAACCCCACACCATTCCCATCATCTAACCACCCATCAATCCCCATATACTACCCCCACCCCCCATCACCTCCCAATATACCTACCCACCCATCAATCCCAATTCTCCCACACATCCCAAACCCATCAACAACCCATCACACCCCCCCTAATCATCCCCAAAATCACACCCATAATCAACCACCCCTCCACATCAAAATCCCTACCACCATAATCCCCCAAATCCAACCCCACCCATCCACATCCCCCATAATCCTACCACACATTCAAATCCCATAAACATACCCACCTCAAACATCCTCTTCCTACCCCAAATCCCATCCATAAAATCCCTACCCCCACCCCTCAAACCTATTCTACCCACCTTATCAATCCCATATTATAACCCCCTAATCAATCCATATATCCCTAACCAAAAATCACATCCCCTATACTACCACCCCAACACATCCCCCAATATTCTACCCACAAACAATCATAATCTAACCCACCCTTAATTCATATTCCTACCACTATACATCCCCCCATAATTCCTACCCACCTATCAATCCCATATTCTAACCACAATCCAATACCCATATTCTACCCACAATCAATCCCCATATCCTACCACACATCCCAATTCCCCATATTCCTACCCCCTCAATATATCCCATATTCTACCCACACATCCATCCCCCATATCCTACCCCACCTCATCAATCCCCATTTTCCTACCCCTATCACATCCCCATATTCCTACCACTCATAATCCCATATTCTACTCACAATCAATCCCTAATCCTACCCCCACACATCAATCCCATATTTCTACCCACCAATCCAATCCCATATTCCTACACAATCAACATCCCCCATATTCCTCCCCACCACATCCCACATCCCATATTCCCTACCCACTCATCACATCCCCATTTCCTACCCCCACAATAATCCCCCATATTTACTACACACCATCCAATCCATATTCTACCACCCTCACATCCCATATTCCTACCCACACATCCCATCATCCCCCATATTCCTACCCACTTCATACATCCCAATATTCCTACCCCACTCATCACACCCCAATCTTCCATACCCACAATCACCCATCCCCATATCCTACCCACCTATCACATCCCCATTTTCCTACCACTATCACATCCCATATTCCTACCACAATCTATCCCCATATTATACCCACTATCACATCCAATATTCTACCCACAATCAATCCCCCATATTCCTACACACTCATCAATCCCCATATTCCTACCCACAATACATCCCAACTATTCCTACCACTCCTCAATCCCTTATTCCTACCCCCACCTATCATCTTCCCCATATTTCTACCCACTCATCACATACCCATATTCCTACACCCAAATACATCCATATTATACACACTCATTCAATCCCAATATTCTACACACTCATCACATACCCTTATTTCCTACCCCAATCATATACCATATAATTCCCACTCATCACATCCCCCAGATTCCTACCCACTCATCTCATCCCCCATATTTCTTACCACCAATCTTATCATGGAGTACTACAACCATCTACATCCAATTTTCATACCACTATCACATACCATATTCCTACCCACACATCACATACATTATTACTACATCCATTCACACATACCATATTCCTACACACAAGCAATCCCCTCCATATTCCTACCCCACTCATCACATACCAATTATTCTACAACAACATCACTTACCCTTATATTACTTCCCACACATCACATACCCATATTTCCTACCACTCATCACATACCCATATTCCTACCACACTCATCTACCTTCCAATATTCTACACTCCGCATCACCATCCCCCATATTCCTACCCTACACATCATTTACCAATATTCCGAACACAATCTCATTACCAGATTTAATTCACACACATTCACATACCATTATTCCTATCCCACTCATCATCTACCAATATTACTACCCCCACATTCACTTACACCCATATTGACTTCCCACCCTATCTCTTCACCCATTATTCCTTACACACACTTCACTTACCCTTATTGCCTTCCATCACATCACATACAATTTGCCCTACACACTCATCTTTCCCATATTTTACCTGAGAGACCAGAGAGAGAGACCAGAGAGAGACCAGAGAGAGAGACCAGAGAGAGAGAGAGAGACCAGAGAGAGACCAGAGAGAGAGACCAGAGAGAGAGACCAGAGAGAGAGACCAGAGAGAGACCAGAGAGAGACCAGAGAGAGAGAGAGACCAGAGAGAGACCAGAGAGGAGAGACCAGAGAGAGACCAGAGAGAGACCAGAGAGAGAGAGACCAGAGAGAGAGACCAGAGAGAGACCAGAGAGAGACCAGAGAGAGACCAGAGAGAGACCAGAGAGACCAGAGAGAGACCAGAGAGAGACCAGAGAGAGACCAGAGAGAGACCAGAGAGAGACCAGAGAGAGACCAGAGAGAGGACCAGAGAGAGAGAGACCAGAGAGAGAGACCAGAGAGAGACCAGAGAGAGACCAGAGAGAGACCAGAGAGAGACCAGAGAGAGACCAGAGAGAGACCAGAGAGAGACCAGAGAGAGAGACCAGAGAGAGAGACCAGAGAGAGACCAGAGAGAGACCAGAGAGAGAGACCAGAGAGAGAGACCAGAGAGAGACCAGAGAGAGAGACCAGAGAGAGAGACCAGAGAGAGACCAGAGAGAGAGACCAGAGAGAGACCAGAGAGAGACCAGAGAGAGGAGACCAGAGAGAGAGACCAGAGAGAGAGACCAGAGAGAGACCAGAGAGAGAGACCAGAGAGAGACCAGAGAGAGAGACCAGAGAGAGACCAGAGAGAGACCAGAGAGAGAGACCAGAGAGAGACCAGAGAGAGAGACCAGAGAGAGAGACCAGAGAGAGACCAGAGAGAGACCAGAGAGAGACCAGAGAGAGACCAGAGAGAGACCAGAGAGAGACCAGAGAGAGAGACCAGAGAGAGACCAGAGAGAGACCAGAGAGAGACCAGAGAGAGAGAGACCAGAGAGAGACCAGAGAGAGAGACCAGAGAGAGAGACCAGAGAGAGACCAGAGAGAGAGACCAGAGAGAGACCAGAGAGAGACCAGAGAGAGACCAGAGAGAGAGACCAGAGAGAGACCAGAGAGAGACCAGAGAGAGAGACCAGAGAGAGACCAGAGAGAGAGACCAGAGAGAGACCAGAGAGAGACCAGAGAGAGACCAGAGAGAGACCAGAGAGAGAGACCAGAGAGAGAGACCAGAGAGAGACCAGAGAGAGACCAGAGAGAGACCAGAGAGAGAGACCAGAGAGAGACCAGAGAGAGAGACCAGAGAGAGACCAGAGAGAGACCAGAGAGAGAGACCAGAGAGAGAGACCAGAGAGAGACCAGAGAGAGACCAGAGAGAGAGACCAGAGAGAGACCAGAGAGAGAGACCAGAGAGAGACCAGAGAGAGACCAGAGAGAGAGACCAGAGAGAGACCAGAGAGAGACCAGAGAGAGAGACCAGAGAGAGACCAGAGAGACCAGAGAGAGACCAGAGAGAGAGACCAGAGAGAGAGACCAGAGAGAGAGACCAGAGAGAGACCAGAGAGAGACCAGAGAGAGACCAGAGAGAGAGACCAGAGAGAGAGAGAGACCAGAGAGAGACCAGAGAGAGACCAGAGAGAGACCAGAGAGAGACCAGAGAGAGACCAGAGAGAGAGACCAGAGAGAGAGACCAGAGAGAGACCAGAGAGAGAGACACACACACAGATCACAGTGAGCGCTGATGCAACTCCTCCAGCTCGTGGAGTCAGACGGAGCCGCACATAACGGACCATAACAACACGGACCAGCACACGCACACGCACATGCACGAGCTGTATAATGTCTCTGTCCTGAACCATCACGTCACGTTACGTTGCTTCAACGTGTCTCTCCGGTGTACGGCTCAACGTAAACAGAGGAATGTCTCTGCTGGTCTCACAATAACAATAGTATCTGACATGGGCGCATTCTGGTCTCTCTCTGGTCTCTCTCTCTGGTCTCTCTCTGGTCTCTCTCTCTGGTCTCTCTCTCTGGTCTCTCTCTCTGGTCTCTCTCGTCTGGACTCTCTCTCTGGTCTCTCTCTGGTCTCTCTCTGGTCTCTCTCTCTGGTCTCTCTCTCTGGTCTCTCTTGGTCTCTCTCTGGTCTCCTCTCTCTTGGTCTCTCTCTGGTCTCTCTCTGGTCTCTCTCTGGTCTCTCTCTGGTCTCTCTCTCTGGTCTCTCTTGGTCTCTCTCTCTGGTCTCTCTCTGGTCTCTCTCTGGTCTCTCTGGTCTCTCTCTCTGGTCTCTCTCTCTGGTCTCTCTCTGGTCTCTCTCTCTGGTCTCTCTCTCGGGGTCTCTCCTAGAATGGGTTCCTACTCTTCTCGGGGTGGAGTCTCGTCGTAGATGCTCTTCTGGGTATGGTTTGGCTGAGATCGCATGCTAGGGGGCGGGGCGAGAGCACTGCTCAAGTCGGGCAGGAGCATGCGGGGGTGGGCGGGGACGGCGGAAGTATGGGGAGGGGTGGGGTGGCCGCGAGATCGGGGCGCGGAGGAGACAGGGAGAAGTAGCAGCCGGAGGCAGCGTAGGGAGACAGGCGGGTCACCAGGGAAGAAGGAGAGAGGGTGCGTAGTGACTAGGAGAGGGGAGAGCGATGAGAGCGGGCTTGCATTGGGGACACGACGGCGACAGAAGGCAGCGTCGGGGGTTGAGGAGATCGGGCCAAGCTGCGAACAGTACGCAACTGACAGCCGTTAAAGAGCCCCAGGCTGCGCGGGTCGTTTCTGGTCTCCGGCGGGCAGCATACAAGAAAGCGCGGGGGGGGGGCGAGATGGAAAGGCCGGGGCAGAAGGAGTCGCAAAATCACGACGTCAGAGGTTGCGGGAACGGAGCGCTTGTAGGATGAGAGGGGCGCACGCGCGGCCGTGGGCAGCCGGGCAGCAGGCGTAGTCGTCGGTTGAAGGGGCGGTGGTGAACGATGAAGGCGATAGGGGGAGGGCTTGGCAGGCGACTGCTGAGGTGGTGCGCCGTCTCTCCCTTTTGGACACAGCTCTCTCTTGGTCCGCCGTTGCGTCTATCTTCTGCATGCCGCTGGGGTGTGAACGTGGGTGCTGTTTTCTCAGCTCGTTCGTGGTCGTTCTGCTTACCCCTTGGTGGATGTCCGCCTCTCCTCTGTTGCATATTGTGGTTATTTCTCTCTTATTGCTTGCTCAAGGGGTTTTTCGTCTCCTTCAACTCCTTCTTTCGTAGTATTTCGTGCAGGCACCAGAGGACACAATGATCTCCCCGTGTGTCTCCTGTGTTTGCCCCGGTCTGCCCTGGTTGGTCCTGGTTGATCTTGGTTGGTTCTGGTTGGTCCTGGTTCGTCCCGGGTCTTACGGAGGACGTGGAGAACCTCCTGGTCACGGTCCTGGTCACGGTCCTGGTCCACAGCATGTCTTCGGGCTCCGTGAGGCTGTTGCACCTGACAGCGGCTGCAGAGAGAGAGAGTCGCGCACACGCACCACGGAGGAACAGGCTGCGCGCTCCCGACACGACCCGCCTCCATGCGCGTGCACGCCTGGGAATTCCTCCGTGACATAATACAGTGTGTCCCAAACTGTGGCCCGCGGGACGAGAGTCCGTGATCCTGGAGCTTAGTCTGCCAGACTGACTTTGGGAATCCACACATGAACCACCAGGACCAGGACCAAGACTCAGGACCAAGGACCAAGGACCCAGGACCAAGGACCAAGGACCCAGGACCAAGGACCAAGGACCAAGACTCAGGACCAAGGACCAAGGACCCAGGACCCAGGACCAAGGACCAAGACTCAGGACCAAGGACCAAGACTCAGGACCAAGGACCAAGGACCCAGGACCCAGGACCAAGGACCAAGACTCAGGACCAAGGACCAAGGACCCAGGACCAAGACTCAGGACCAAGACCCTGTCTTTGTCTTGTCTTCCTGTGTTGTTATTGTTTTAACTTTGTATTATGACTGATTTATAGTTTATGATGCTCACGGTGCAGCGCTTTGGAAACATTGTTTTTGGAAAGTGCTTTACAAATAAATATTTATTATTTATTATTAAGACCCAGGACCAGGACCAAGGACCAGGACCAAGACTCAGAACCAAGACCCAAGACCAAGACTCAGGACCAGGGGGGATTGGTCTCTCTCTGGTCTCTCCTTAGTCCTCTGGTTCTGCTGGAGGACCATCAGCTTCAGTCTCATTGTTCCAGCTCTAGTTTGTTTTTGTGTGTATGTGTGTGTGTGTGTGTGTGTATGTGTGTGTCTGTGTATGTGTGTGTCTGTATGTGTGTGTCTGTGTGTGTATTAGACCAGGAGCTGCTGTTGAGGGGCCCCTGTTACTATGGATACAACCTACTGAACAAGGCACCAATAAAACAAGAGAAGGGACCAGACCAGAGAGAGACCAGAGAGAGAGACCAGAGAGGGACCAGAGAGAGAGACCAGGGAGAGACCAGAGAGAGAGAGAGACCAGGGAGAGACCAGAGAGAGAGACCAGAGATACTTGTTGTTGATTGGCTGAGTGAGGGTGATATTTTTATGTGAAACTGAGAAAGAACTGGAGCCTGAACCATGTGACGTCACAGTTTTACATAAATGTTTGAGCTGAGTGTTGACAGAAGAGACTGGTCTGCTCCTGTGTGGGGCGGCTGCGGCTGTGGAAAAGTACAGCTGCACTCAGAAAACTCAGACAAACAAACAGTGTCCCTCTCTGGTCTCTCTCTCTCTCTGGTCTCTCTCTGGTCTCTCTCTCTCTCTGGTCTCTCTCTGGTCTCTCTCTCTGGTCTCTCTCTGGTCTCTCTCTCTGGTCTCTCTCTCTCTGGTCTCTCTCTCTGGTCTCTCTCTCTCTGGTCTCTCTCTGGTCTCTCTCTCTTGTCTCTCTCTCTGGTCTCTCTCTCTGGTCTCTCTCTCTGGTCTCTCTCTGGTCTCTCCTTCTGGTCTCTCTCTCTGGTCTCTCCTTCTGGTCTCTCTCTGGTCTCTCTCTCTGGTCTCTCTCTCTGGTCTCTCTCTCTGGTCTCTCTCTGGTCTCTCTCTCTGGTCTCTCTCTCTGGTCTCTCTCTGGTCTCTCCTTCTGGTCTCTCTCTCTGGTCTCTCTCTGGTCTCTCCTTCTGGTCTCTCTCTGGTCTCTCTCTCTGGTCTCTCTCTCTGGTCTCTCTCTGGTCTCTCTCTGGTCTCTCTCTCTGGTCTCTAAATAAAAACACTGAAGCAGGACATAAATGAGAAGAGCAGCTTTAATCTGTGGTGATTCACAACATACACGAGAGGGTCTCAGTCAGATACATCATTAATGCTGGGGTACCAGAGAGACCAGAGAGAGACCAGAGAGACCAGAGAGACCAGAGAGAGACCAGAGAGACCAGAGAGACCAGAGAGACCAGAGAGAGACCAGAGAGAGACCAGAGAGAGACCAGAGAGAGACCAGAGAGAGACCAGAGAGACCAGAGAGACCAGAGAGAGACCAGAGAGAGACCAGAGAGACCAGAGAGACCAGAGAGACCAGAGAGAGACCAGAGAGACACCAGAGAGAGACCAGAGAGAGACCAGAGAGACCAGAGAGAGACCAGAGAGAGACCAGAGAGAGACCAGAGAGACCAGAGAGAGACCAGAGAGAGACCAGAGAGAGACCAGAGAGAGACCAGAGAGAGAGACCAGAGAGAGACCAGAGAGAGACCAGAGAGAGACCAGAGAGAGACCAGAGAGACCAGAGAGAGACCAGAGTGACCAGAGAGAGAGACCAGAGAGAGAGACCAGAGAGAGAGACCAGAGAGAGACCAGAGAGAGAGACCAGAGAGAGACCAGAGAGAGACCAGAGAGAGACCAGAGAGAGACCAGAGAGACCAGAGAGAGAGACCAGAGAGACCAGAGAGAGAGACCAGAGAGAGACCAGACAGAACATAGGTCCCCAGCTTTAGGCCAATAACCAAACAGTCCATAGTTTTATAGTTTTCACTGAAACAGGACGTGATCAAAAAACTGGTGCAAAACAAAATATTTTGTGGTGATTTCAAAGGAAGCGGATCCCAGCTCCAAACTGTACTCCATCACAGATCCTGAGGAGAGAGCACACAGTCAGGGGAGAGCACCACCTACAACCAGCTGGATCTACAGACTCAGTCCTGGGTCTCAGACAGTCCTGGGTCTCAGACAGTCCTGGGTCTCAGACAGTCCTGGGTCTCAGACAGTCCTGGGTCTCAGACAGTCCTGGGTCTCAGACAGTCCTGGGTCTCAGTCCTGGGTCTCAGTCCTGGGTCTCAGTCCTGGGTCTCAGTCCTGGGTCTCAGTCCTGGGTCTCAGTCCTGGGTCTCAGTCCTGGGTCTCAGTCCTGGGTCTACAGCCCTGGGTCTACAGCCCTGGGTCTACAGCCTCACACACAGTAGTGAGACTGTGGCGCCCTCTAGTGGACAGATGTGGACATTACTCACATGGTTCATACCAGAACATTCTGCTCCAACACTGAGCCTCATCAGTCACAGACCTGGAGGTGTTTTTAGCTCCTTCCATGCTAATATCAGGAGCACTAACATGTAGCTCCGCCCCTTCTGTCTAAATGCTCCTCTCAGTCCTGTAACAGTGTGATGACATCACTATGACATCACACTGTTTTATGAATTTCAAACAAAAGTATTGCTCCTAAAATAGTTTTAGTGATTTCTCAAATTAAAAGTTAGGGTCTCTCTCTCACTCTCTAGTCTCTCCCTCCGGCCTCCCTCCGGTCTCCCTCCGGTCTCCCTCCGGTCTCCCTCCGGTCTCCCTCCGGCCTCCCTCCGGCCTCCCTCCGGTCTCCCTCCGGCCTCCCTCCGGTCTCCCTCCGGCCTCCCTCCGGTCTCCCTCCGGCCTCCCTCCGGCCTCCCTCCGGCCTCCCTCCGGCCTCCCTCCGGCCTCCCTCCGGCCTCCCTCCGGTCTCCTTCCGGTCTCCTTCGGTCTCCCTCCGGTCTCCCTCCGGTCTCCCTCCGGTCTCCCTCCGGCCTCCCTCCGGCCTCCCTCCGGCCTCCCTCCGGCCTCCCTCCGGCCTCCCTCCGGCCTCCCTCCGGTCTCCCTCCGGCCTCCCTCCGGCCTCCCTCCGGCCTCCCTCCGGCCTCCCTCCGGCCTCCCTCCGGTCTCCCTCCGGCCTCCCTCCGGCCTCCCTCTGGTCTCCTTCTGGTCTCACTCTGGTCTCACCGGTCTCCGCTCTGCACTCCCATAGGAACACAGTAGTTGAGTTCTAGTCGTGCGATGTTCCCGAGGCGCAGCACGATCCCAGCTCCGTACGACCAGCGCAGACACTCAGCCAGTCTCTGCAGGTGAGCCTGAGGACCAGCACCTGCAACACCAGGGGAGAGACCCTACCATGAGAGGTGGACCAGAGAGAGAGAGACCAGAGAGAGAGAGGACAGAGAGACCAGAGAGAGAGAGACCAGAGAGATACCAGAAAGAGAGAGAGAGACCAGAGAGATACCAGAGAGAGAGACCAGAGAGAGAGAGGAGAGAGAGAGACAGAGAGAGAGGACAGAGAGAGAGAGGACAGA